CCCTTGGGTAAAAATTTTATGTCACATCCTTTAAGCACATAAAAATTTTACCCTTGGGTAAAAATAAGAGGAGTGAAATGATTTTTCAAGATTATGGGCAGCAGGAGAATTTTTCAAGTAAGCCAATCTGGATCCAGATACTTTTCTGTGAAAAACAGTTTTATTTACATTTTAACAAAACTAAAGCTTGTAGTTTTCATTTGCATTTACTTTTTGAATGACATGCCATCATTATTTCACAGTCGCAATTTGGCTTCTAGCACAATGGCACAAAGTGTTGCCTGGTGGTCCAAAATAAAAACTTACTTTATAAATGTCAAAATAGTTTTGGCCTTTGAAATATTTATGTTAACATAAATGCAAATTTTATTTTATGGAATTTCGAAAAGCTTCATGCAATCTTGACCTTTTCATAATCCCGAATAGTAGTTTTTATTGACTGTCATTGGCCCTCTTTAACATGTGGACTGAACAACACAGTCAGGAAATTATGTATGTAGAATCCTAAATGTTCTCTTTTTAGAAGAGTACTGGATATTCTGAATGCGAAAGGTCACTTGGATATATAAGTTTTCCACCACGCTGCAGTGAATTAGACTAATCTAGGAGCCTCCATAAAAGTGTCTCTGCATTGTTGCACAAGGTGACATATTTCAAGCTTTATCCAGTGAGTATTTAAAAAAGATACAGCAAACAAAATGTGTATCAACGAGTCGAAACGAAAGAAAAAGCAGATGTAATTCAATGCATTGGTGTAATATGTGTAGAAAAATATGCTATCTAGTAAAATTGGGATGGCTGATTGCCACTCTGAGGTAAGGCTTGCAAATTACATATTTATTTTATGCTAAGAAGTAAATACTACACATAAGAGAATAGGAATGTTAGTAGTTAAATGGGCCATATAAAAGGCATTTTGCTGTACATTTAAAAAAAAATTTAGTCTTGAGAAGCAGTGGCAAATGTCAACAACTGTCTGTCCCTCTTAGATAGTTCTGAATCTTCTACTTTTGAGAAAAAAGAATTTGATGCTCCATACCCTCTAGGAGTACTCTTTTAGAATTTACATTGGAATCTTTCACTGCTAATGACGTATAGTCCCAACTCCTAGAGTAAACACCTCATAGAAAGTTCAAAGGCTTTTACTAAGGCACACACGCACTGGACATGTTGGTGCACACTTGTAATCCCAGCACTCTGGGGAGCTGTGGCAGGAGGACTGCAAATTAGTGCTCAGCCTGTGCAAATTAACAACTTAGATTCTGTCTCAAAGTAAAATAATTTTAAAAAGCTAAAAGGCTGGGCATAGATACATAGCTCAGTGCAAAGGCCCTCAACCCCAGTAGCAGAAGAAAAAAATGAAAAGAGAAAAACATACATGAACAAGAGGGAAAATGAAACTTTTATGAAGGAAAAATTTCCTTTTACCATAACAGAAAAGCAGTAAGAATTATTATGGAATATTCAATTCTGCTAGAGCTGGTCAATCTAGAATGATGATACTATGAGTATTCACTCCATGTAATCATATGCTGGGGAAAAAAATCTCAGGATCCACTCTGTATGACACCAACATACGTTCAACTTAATATTGACTACATTTTTCATTTACATAAAGGCTGTATGCATAAAGCTTTTTGGGACTAAAATGACTTAGGTGAGAGCATGGAGGTCATCCGTCTCACAGATATTATCTGTAGTCCTAAAATACTGTCTGTTATGAAGGTGTGTTTCTCTATTGCTGCATTTCCCATTGTGGGGCATCGGATCAGCCTTTATATATGCTATCATGGATAGTACAGTCAATTCTGTAGACAATGCAAAATAGTTAGAAAATGGGGTATTTACTTTTAAGAACCTTGCACTTTATTTAAGGAGACAGAATATTGACTTACAAAGCTACAGGAAACACATAAAATACCTACTTTTATTGGACAAATGTCTACAAGAATTGAGAAGGTGCTAGCTAGAGAGGGAATGAGGAAGAGGGGCACCTCCAGATGGAGCTTGGAGTGATGTTGGCTCATCCATAAGCCAGCACTGGGGTAGGGCCAAGAAGAAGAATATTTGGGCAGTGGAAATAAAGTACAAAACTTCAAGGACAGAGTGAGAACATTTTGGAGTTCTCAAATGAGACCTGCTGAAGTGAAGGTTAAGGCCTGAGGATTAATTTGTTTGAAGCTGATTAAGGAGCAGATTGAGAAGTAATGTGGGCATAAGTATCAGGGAAGACTGTGGTCAGATGAATAAATGATTCCTAGGAAAGAGGCATATTTTCTCCTATGTGATGTTAAATTTAGTTGTATTTCTCATACATTGAGCTTGCCAAGACTTCATAATTAGGGTGGCTATATAGTTTATTATTTAAATGGGCACTTTTGAGAAGAAAAGGGGGATCTTAATAATTACATGCTGGGATTATCTAAGGCAAATTGGGTCATATGACCCGCTAACAATGATGTCAACCGAAAGTAACTGAGACACATCTGGGCTACTCTGTTGTGGGTCAAGCATTCCTTCTACACATTCTCTTGAGAATAATGAAAGGCTTTTGTGTATGGGGTGGAGGAAAACAAACAAACAAAAAAAGTAAAACTAAATACAGTGTATGCAGAATATTGGGCATGACATTTACCTATTGGAGGAGGGGACTATTCTCTTCCTTTCTACTCTCTGCTCAGTTTTGAACTACCCAAAATGGATCATTAAGATAAAAAGAGTTAAATCTAGACAATTTGACAGAGTGGAGAAAACTTTGCCCTTGGACTCAAGAAAAGCTGGGAATTAATATTAACTCCATTAGTAACTAACTTTCTTTTATTTTAAAGAGAAAAGAACAAAAACAAATTAACAAACACAACCTTAGGTATATCATTTAACTTATTTGAATCTGTATTTCCTGATACTGGTATTATCATGGTAGTGAAGATCAAATCATTAAATTACAGGGGAGAAAGTGTTTTTTGACACAGTAGATCAATGTGTGATGGTCATTTTTGAATGTCTGCCTGAAAGGAAGCTATTTTTCCTTCTTTTTTAAAAAAAATATATATTTTAAAACATTGGGTAGCTCTAGCAATCAATGTATGTTACTCATGGTCATTCCATTCCTTCTGTCAGTGACTGGCTCAGGAATGACCAATGGCACAAAAGGCAAAGCTTTGTGGGTGGATGAAAAGGAAATATTTCCTTGCTTTTAAACAGGATCCAAGCAAAACATACTCTGTTTTTGCCTATCAGTATATATGTGTGAGGTGGAGTGTGTAGAGCCACTTTGTAACTGTAATAGGTGCTGATAGCGTGCAAAAGAAGGAAGAATGGGTTATGGAAAGGACATGGGTCCTTGACGAAATCATCATTGTGCTGTTAAAAGCAGTAACCTGAAACTCTCCTCCTTCTGAACTAATTGTTATAATACTTTCATCATAAATTTCCTTTAAATTACATATTTTGTAACTTGTACTTGAATGAATCTTAGTTATTATACATATTAGTAAATTTAATCTTAATTTGCTCAGAATTGAACAGTCTGAGGAGTGCTTCCTCTGCCTTCAAAATGAAACCATTAAGTATGAGATCATCTCTAGGTAAAAAGTTTAGGAAATGGATAAAGAAGGCAGTAAGCTCACTACTTTAAAAGCAGAAATAACTTCATTTGCGCTGAGATGGTTGGAGTGAGTCTGTGAGATGCTGAGCTTGAGGGGCAGAAGACTAAGCCAGTTTTTTTTTTTTTTTTTTAAAAAAAGGAACTTTTCCTTTCATAGACGGGGCTACCATCGAAAGAAGGAATTTCTAGGCACTATCCTAACAATTCTGAATGGTCAGGAGGTTCTTAAGACAGCTTGGATTTGGGCAGTTTCTTTAAAAAGAAAAATAAGTTTGATAGAAACATCTGTTTGCAGCAATTATGTTGGGGACCATCTTCAGGGATTGGGTTGGGTAGGATGCGTGCTTGAAGAATATTAATAGTCAGAAAGGCTAACCATAATTCAGTAAGTAAACTTTCACGTTTGTCATGGCTGTAGCTGGAATATTTGGCAGCATTAACTGATTAAGTAGGTGGAAGGGTAGGACAAGTAGAGTAGGTAAGAGAGGCTCTAAAGGTGTAAAATCTTTTCCAACTGGATGGGAAACTACTTTTTTACTGAAAGCTCAACCAAGTCTACTTCTCTGCTTTCAGGACAAGGCAAGGTGGGGACCAGGCCTGGGGATGGCACTGCGGTACTACAGTGTTCGGGCTCAAATGCTGCCTGGAAGTGGGCTTCCCACCCGCAAGGAAGTGTTTCACAGCAGTTTCTTGATTGAACTCAGAGATCGGTTTAAGGACATCTACATCTTTAAGAGATCTAAAATTAGAGTCAAGATCACATTGATTTATATTATCTAGATTTATGTTACCTAGACTTTATATTATCTAGATTTATATTATCTAGATTTATATTATCTATCTGTTAACTTCCCATAGAAATGAACCTCTCTAATACCACTTTTGAAGCTCAGTTCTGAAAGATAATTTAGAAGTCATATGCCTAGGCAGTGGTAGGAACAGATCCCCAATCTATGCACTATATTTCCCTCTCCTGACCATGTAACTCATTTATTGTTAGCCTTTCAAGATTAGACTGCGTATTGTTTCATATATGTTTAGAGAACCACCAGTGCTCTAAATCTATACAAATGCTGTCTCAAGAAAAAAGTGTTCTGGGGCTGGGGATTTAGCTCAGCGGCAAAGCGCCTGCCTGGCAAGCGCAAGGTCGTGAGTTCGGTTCCTGGTACTGGAGAAAAAC